GAGGGGGAGGGATTTGCTCCACTTGCCTAGCGAGTTAGCTGACCACCCAATTCTCGGAAGAATCAGGCTTCAGTAAATGTTTAGCTACCCTGTCTCACCAAGCTTATCTCCACTTTGGATATAATCTGTAATTTAATCTTCCAAACAATTGTGAAGGGAATGTTTTTATGCCTCAAATTTATGGATTTGAAAAATCGAGGCTTGGAGAAGTGCAGTAATTGTCACAGGAAATACAGCCAGTGGGGTCAGCTGGAATCTGAACTCAGTCTGGCCTGCTTTAAAAAACCCTTTTCAAGACCCCTTTATTCTTTCCAAGTTCTGCTCATAATTATAGGAGCAATTTATGTACGTGGGGGGAAATCTGGAGATTCCAGAGAGGTGTAAAAAATAAATAGATAAATCACTGCCCAGGGAAGCCTTGGGGACATCTTGGAAATTATTCCCCTTAATATTTTTCTACATATATGCATTAAAGTTTTATAAAATTGGGACGGTAGAAGCACAGCTCGTTTTTTTTTTTCTTCCCCCTGCCCCCATAGCATTAGTAGTTCTTTAAAATGATGCTAGGACATACTCCCTACAATTCGCAGCTGCCCTTTGAGGACGCCAGCCCACCTATGACCGGCCATCACAGCTGAGATCTGAGCAGCCTTAACTACCCCTCTCCTGCCCCTTTTGGTCCCCACAGCCTAATCCCCAAACCTAAGCTTCCAGATATCGCCACCTGACATCTAAGGGACCCCTGGGACCTCTGTGTCCCTTGTAGTAAAGTTTCACCCAAAAGTTCACAGTCCCTGAAGTTTGCTTTGGTGACTTTGAAATATGACTCTTCTGTTGCATTCTTAGACCAGACCCAAGGGCACAAAAGCAGACATTTCAGGGAAGCTGAGAGCACAGGTTGTGGGGTCAGGCAGACCTGGTTGGAACCCCAGCCATCCCTCTTCCTAGTCCCATAACCTTGGACAAGTCACTTAATTTGTCTCGCCTATAAGATGAGCGATGCAGAGTCTGGCAGCTGTAAAGCGCTTGGCCCGGAGGCGGGTCTGAGGAAGAGCCGTTCACCGCAGTGCTGGCGGTTCTGGCTTCCCAGCAGCTACGGATTCAGTGTGGTGAACGACGAGGCGGGTTCCTACTCGTGGCATCACACGCACGCAATGAAAGCAAGTCATGTAAATGGGGTGGGAGCTGTCACACCTCATGGAAGAAGTTCTGAGGCCAGAGGCAGGACTGAAGCCCTGAGTAGGTTTTCATAGTCCAGCTGTCATCACGGTTTCCCAACTGTGCCTGGTTTACTAGAGTCCAGACCTGCCTCCCTGGGCTGAGGTTCCCCTTCCCACACACGGAGGGGTTCAGGTGACCTCCCATCTGACAGTGAGGCCTGGCTTTTGGAGCACAGAGCAGACAGTGTGCACACAACCGTCCTGGATGCGGCCCAGGCACGAAGGCCTGAGGAGCCTGACCCCAGTGTACAAGATAACTCGGAGCACACCATGAAAGGCTCCCGATCCCGTGGAAGAGAAACCTAGCGGAGCAGGCGCATCCCACATTCCTCAGGGCAACTCCCTGCCTGTGTGACCTCTCCGCGCCAAGGGTCCCCGCCCATGGTGGCCAGCCACTCACTGGCCAGAGTCCCTGGTGAGCTTGCTTCCTCCCAGGGGAGAGACAGAGCTTGGCCTGGGGAGAGGACGTGGGCTCTGAAGTCGGGAGAGGTAGGTGTGCCCCCCGCACCCCTGCTCTGCAGGGTTCCTGTTCTGGGGGTGTGGGCTGCTGAGCTAACTGGCTGACCTGCACCCGAGAGGGTAAAAGAGGAACCTCGGCCTCCAGGGATGCTGGGGGGTTAAACGCAGTGGCGCCTGCTAATTGCCCACCAGAAGGCGGGCGCAGAGCACGCATGAACTGCCCTCCCTTGAGCCTGAAGAATAGAAAGATGGGGTTTGCATTCTATCTAGTGGGCTTCCTATGAAAGCAAGGCTGCTTCTTTTCTTATTAATAATTTTCAAAAAGTCATTGAGTCTTGATTGCTAGGATTAATTAAGTGGCTCTCTCTTTGGAGAGCATCTTTTCCACTCATCTCATTTTGCAGAAGAGTAAGCTGAGGCCCAAGGTCATGCAAAGAAGAGCGCATTGGTCCAAAGACTGGGGGGAAAGTAAGAGGCAAATATCTGTTCAGGTCCTTTGACGGCACAAAGAGAAGGGGGAGAGAAATCAGGAACTGTTAGCACCACAGTTAATTAACTCATTTCTCTCTTGCCCTCTCCTTATTGCTCCTAGAAGCAATTATGTCTCCCATCCTCTCCCACCTCCAGCTCCTGCATAAAACTGTCACAAATTAAATTGTTCAGCCATTTCATTAGGGAGATTCCAGCTCTCATTCTCTGGGGCATTTTTCATTCTTTTCCAATAAACGCCTCTTTTGGTAAGTTAACTCCTTCCTGGAGATGATAGGAAGCCGGTGAGCAAACAACTGAGGGGCGTGTGAACCTGGTGGGTTTTTCGGACCAGCGTGGGATGTGGGGGGCATGAAGCCCAGCCCAGCCCTGGCTTGCAAGCTGACCTGGCAGATGGAGGCAGGGCGAGGGAAGGTGTCAGAGTAGAAGACTCTAGCAGCCAGGACCCGCTGCACCCTCCTCTTCTCGAGACCTTGGGTATGTTCCTTTTCTTGGAGGGTCCCCAGTTTTCCCATCTGAAAAATGCAAGTTTCAAGTCTTTTTTATTTCCTGTACTGGATTCCATGAATCCCTGCAAAACAGCACAGGAATGTTTGAGAATGACGCAAAGTTGTTGCCGAAAGGGGTGAAGTTAGAATTCACTTGCACAGATGGCCAGGCCTTTTCCCAAGGAGTTTGCTGGAGTCATGATGTAAGCAAGGGATGAGTTGGACATGACAGCCATGGCTACTGCTTGGAAGTGACTCGGAGGAGGAGGTGTAGTGGGAGGGAACAGAAAACAGGCTGAGGGATGGGCCTGGGATATCTGGGTGGTGGGTGCTCCAGGCAAGGGGTTAAAGGCACAGCCCCTGTCTTAGTTGGTCCTTGACCCCAAGTGTCCAGCTGCAGGAGACAGAATGGCATTGTCAGGAGAGTGGGGTGATAGTGCAGGGCTCTGTGGTAGGAGAACATGAGAAATTGAAGGAGGGAGGCCTCACACAGGGTTCATGGTCATCTCTGCATGACTGTTCCACCAGGCCTCTCCTCAGCTGGTCCCAGGAGCTTTCTCCAGTAGCCCAAAAGGCCTTGGCAATGACAGGTGGGGAGGCTGAGGGACTGGGGTGACTGGTGGGCTCCAGGAAGGCACTGGAAATATACAAAGTATCCCACCTCTGCCATCCTACCCTGAAATTAGGAAGTGGTGCAGACCTCCCTGGACCTTTGAAAGGCCTTGCTCTGAGAGCATCGAGTGCTCCAGAGTCTGAAATGCAGTGCGCAGGGAAAGGATTTAAGGCTGGTGGAGTGGGTTGGCTGCCTCTTGGACCCTTTCAGACTCCTAAGGTCTTGATCCTGAACTGCAGACAAAGAATGGGACAGCTGGGGACCTGCCCCACAAATTCTCCTCTGTGTCCCCATGAGACAGGCACAGCTCCATGGGATGGTCTGTGCTTCAGGCAGCTGGGAGGGCAGTTTTATTCTGCAATAACCTAAGTCCCTTTTGAAAATACTTGATGAGAGCCCACACTTTGAATACAATCAGAAAAGACCCTATAAATGGCAATATTAACATGATTTTCTGCCAGGCCATGTTCTTAAGTGTTTCATGTGCTTTATCTGTTTATTTTGGAGCCATGACACAATGTCATTTTATTATTATTCCATAAAACAGGCAGGAAGAGGTCATTAATGTGCCAGTGGTCACCTAGCCTATGTGTTCCAAGCCAGAACCTAAACCATTATGGAACAAACTGGAGACTTAGCATCTGTGGTTCAAATCCCAGTCCAATGGTTACATGCTGTGTGACGTTAGACAAGTCCCCTACCTTCTCTGAGACTCAGCTTCCTTCACTTAAAAATGAGGTTAGGATGCAGGGACTTTACAATAATCAAAAATATACAATGAAATCACTACAGTGAAATATATGTGCTAGAATATTACTCATCCATAAAAAAGAATAAAATCTTGCCTTTTGTCACAATATAGATGGGCCTAGAGGGTATTGTGCTAAGTGAATAAGTCAGACAGAGAAAGACAAATAATATATGATTTCCCTCATATGTGGAATCTAAAGATCAAAATGAGCAAAAAAACCCAAACTCATAGATACAGAGAACAAACTGATGGTCTCCTGATAGGAGGGGCATTGGTAGACTGGGTGGAAAGGGTGAAGGGATTAAGAAGTACAAATTGCCAGTTATAAAAATAGTCACCGGGATGTAAAGTGCAGCAGAGGGTGTATGGTCAATAATAATGCAATAACTCTGCACGGTACCAGGGTGATCACTTTGTAAGTTTTACAAATGTCTAATCACTATATTGTACACCTGAAACTAATACAGTATTGTATGTGAATCATAATTGAAAAATAATTTTTTAAAAGTACCAGCAGATGTCAAAGTGTGAAGCATGCAGCAAATCATAGTTTTATTACGGAGTTTTCCTTTTTCACTGTCTGTCAGAGCCGTTGAGAAACCCAAGCAGAAGAGCAAGCTGAAACAGAAAGTGCCTCCCCTCAGCCCCGGGTGGTGAAGCAACTCCTGGGTACGGAGCTGAGAGCCCCAGTGCAAGGCAGCCAGGGCCAGGGCTCAGGAGTGGAGGGACCCTGCAGGCCATGTGACACCCTCAGCCTCTCACACAAACAGGGCTGGCAGCTTTCTGTCACCCAGGGCACAGGGGAATGGAAACTTTTGCCACCAACAGCATTTGCTAGCAACTTCCCTCTCTGTGGTTTTTCTCTGTCATTCCCTTGATAAAAGAACTCATGCTGCGTAAATGTAACCAACACTCACAAATCTCATCATCACATAAAACAACCGCCTTTCAAGAAGGGAGCTGCCTGAAAATGATGCACGATGTACTCTAAACTGGGTCACTCTCCACCCAGAGGGCTGGGCGCGTGGCTGACTCCCCGTGTGTATCCCTTGTGCCGCAGGCTTCGAGCAGCTTCAGCAGCCCGGGCAGCGAGGAAGATGGGAAATAGCGTGCGATCCACCCCGGCACCTCCCGAGAGGCCTCTGCCCTGCTCAGATGGTAAGTCTGGCTTCTTGGGTGAGATGCTTAACTCCACCCCAGGAGAGCCTGGGCGAAGATGAGGTGATGGGGTTGCTGGTCATTGGTGAAACAGCAATGGGTACATAGGGGCCCCTTATACTCTCTCCCTGACTTTGCTTGTAGTTAACCTTTTCATAATTAAAGGTTCAAAAGATTGGGCAGTGGCACCCCAAAGGGTGCTGATTTGCTGGCATTTTTGAGAAGAGCTGGTTCAATCCCTTTACTTTGTAGGTGGAGAAAACTGAGGCCAACACAGGAAACATAGCTGTTTTCAAGGGTCAGGCATTCGAGGGAGAAGCCACAATGTCACAGGGTTAATCGGTGATGGCAAAAGTCAGCTTTCCCCAGAGATGCCAGGTGGAACTAGGCTCCCGAAGCTACAGCCATTCAGGGACTGGCCAGAGAGCTGGGAGAGGACACCAGCAAGTAGAAAGTCACGGCGAGAGTAAAATCTATCACTCTTTAGGTTCACGGTGCTGGCTGCTTCTAGCAGCCTGGCTTTATTTCCTAGGCAGGGCATTGGGGGACACACTGTATGGGTCCCCTAGGGCATTGGGAAGGGGGTGGTGAGGAGGTCAGGTGATCCATCAGTGTCCCCAGGGTCAGTCACTGGAGACCTCGGAACACTTCCACTTCTAATTTCCTGTCACAGCACTCGGGGCCTGGCCTCCCTCCCCTAACAGGGGTGACCATGCCTGATTCCCCAAGCCCCCCTGCATCACTGCCCTGGGCAAAGGTCGCAGGCACAGGTGCTCACCAGAATGTCTGCCAAGCCACAGTGCAACGTGAAAGTAGACGGAGCCAGGTTCCTGCCTTGCCTCTACCTACTACTTATTCCATGACTTCTGTGGCCCCTTAATAAAGGCAGCCTTCTCACTTCTGAAATGGAGGCACCCAGGTTTTGCATAGTCTCCTGGCCCCCAGACATCCCTGAGTGAGCATGTGGAGACTCTGCTGCCCTGCTCCCCACTCATGTCAGCTGCTGGTCACTTTGAGTGGCCCTCCTTTCTAGCCTGGTAATTGCCACCCCCAACCTAAGAGGGAAAAAGAATGGTCCCTGGGACAAAGGAGCTGGAACCACATGATAGGGTGGAGTGAGCGTGTGCACCAGAGCCCGAGAAGCAGGGCCCTTCCTTCCCATGCAAAGCTCAGAGCCGTGCAGAGCTGCCGCATCTGCTGCTGCTGGGAGGAAGCCTGGGTCCCTCCTCCCAACTTCTCCAAACAGCCCAGGTCATGCTTCCTCTCCAGGTCATGGCCACTTCTAGAAAACTGACACGGTAATGCAGAGGCCCGGCCAGCTCAGGAGGCACCCACCCTCTGAATCCTTCTGTGTTGTTATCTCTCACCCTGGGGCCAAGGGGGCCACATGCTTGAGCAACCTCCATGAAAACATGGGCCCCCAAAGACTTGCTCATTTGCCTTTATTTCTTAAATGCAAATGGTCATGAAATAAGTTTCTCTTTTTCCACTGTGTGGGTGGGAGGTCGCCTCGAAAAAGGGGTAGAGGGGTCTCCCCAGCCCTCCGCCCCCTGGGTAGAGAATTCCCCAGGTCTTACCGAGTTTGTAATCCAGGCAACCACATCAAGGGCCTGCGGGTGGCTTTTCCATCCCCACCCCTGAAAAGTTCCCCTTGTGATGGGTCCTAACCTGATTTCCTCTTTTCTCTGACACCTACCAGGATGGGGGGGGGGAGGCGGTACAGTTGATGCTGCATTCATTAGACTTTATCCAAATGAAGCAAAGGGCTCGGCTTTCATGGAACACACACCTACTCAGCTCACACTCGCGCTTACTCATCTGGTTAGTCTTCCTGGCCACGGTGCAGGGGCTGCTCAGTCCCCCTACATCAGAGCTCCCTTGCTGTTGGCCTGAGTGCTGGAGAGTCAAGCACCAAGGCCCCCCAGGAGACCAACCTGTGGACTTTCACACAAAGAAATGGTCTGAGCTTTCAGGAGCCCATTCTTCCCCAGCCAGGATTGTGACTTTGCCCTTCTGTTGTCTACTACACTAAGCTTTGCAGAACATTCCTGATTAGTCTAGTTCCCAGAGGCTAATATCACAATAGGCGCAGAGGAAATAGGGCAGGTCTCAGAGGCTAATGACCTTGTTGAGCTTCTGGTATTGTCCCCTGGGAGTTGTGTGACCTGAGGTAAGTCACTCAGGCTCCCACGAGGCGGGACTCAGCTCTCAGAGATCAGAAAATCCCTCCCTCGCAGCGCAGCTCAGCGCAGCACAGTGGCCACCTGATACATGTGGGAGGGATGGAGTTTTTAAAACTCCATTTGGGGTTATCTGGTTGCACTAGGCTGCGTCTGAATGACCATCCCCCAAAAAAGTTTTAAAGTGGTAGAACCATCCCCCCAAAAAGTTTTAAAGTGGCTTGTTTTCAACTCATCCCAAAAAGCTCACTTTCTTTACAATTCTACATGTATTTCAGACCCCTGCTGTGTGTCAGACTTGAACCTGACCAAGGGAACGCCCATGTGTCGCCCATCAAGGAGAGAATTCAGTCACATAGCTGGGATCTTTCCCCTGTTCATTTCTTACCTTCTTATTGCCCTGGCCTAAAGTGAGATCTCACTGCCAGAGGTGGAAATGCACACCCAGAGCTGCTCAGACCCCCTTCTGTGCAAGGATGGAAATTATGCTAAGCAGCGTATTTACATAGTATCTAGGGCCCTGCCCTGGTGGAAAATGGGGTGGGGGGAGCTCTGGGGAAGAAGGGGGGGCAGAGAAGTCGCAGACCCAGCCTGGCACATCTCAGTGAGTAGCCCTCAGACCACCTGCTTCAGATCCCCTGGGAAGTCAACAAATGTAGATTCCGGGGCCCCACCCCAGACCTGCTCATCAGAATCCAGTGATGGTGGGTGGGAGCAGCACACTTAATTGCTTACAAGCCCCTGGTGCATTTTGAGCTCCCTGAAGCTTGCAGACCACAGACCCAGCTTTTAGTCCTGCCCATACACGAGCACCCAATGAGAGATGAGCTACCTCAGTTTGCCGCTGTGGGGGCCTCTGTTCTCTTTTGTGAAATGGAGATAATTATAGTGTGCCAGACACGATTCCACGTGCTTTACACACATCAAGTCTTCATTCTCACAATAGTGGCAGCACATAATCCTCTCCACTTTGCAGCTGAGGAAACCGAGGCACAAGGTTTAGTTGCATGCCTGAGGCCATGCAGCCGAGAAGGGGACAGCTAATGGCCTGAATCCCTCCCTTCACCCCAACATTACAGGCCTGGAGAGGACAAGGACAGACTCTCAGGAGGCGATCGGTGTTCTCCAGAGCGAGGAAGAGCATGGTCATGGGATTTAACAACACAGACACTAGAGTGCCCTTGGGAGGGTACCAGCGACAGGAGCTTGCATCAGATCTTTGACTAGATCTGCTGCTGGGCCACAAGACAGATTGAAGTGAGACATGATCATTCAACTTTTATATCATTGTACATTTCATGGCTATGATAGAAAAATAAATAGCCCATCAAACCCATGATTTCACACTGCTCAAAATGGGACTAAAGATGTTTTAAGTGAGTTGACATGAAGGAAAACATTACTCAGTAAGTAGCAGTGCAGATGGTACTCGGCTGTGACAAGAAGAGCTGGTGGTGGGGAGTGGAGTCTATTCTCTGCTGAGAGGTACCTGGTTTTGAGACTGGGCACTCAATTTACCAGCTATGTGTTCTTAGGCGAGTCTCTCCACCTCGCTGTAGCATCTAAGAGCCTTTGGGTTGGCTCAGTTCCAATGTGCCCCATTGAACAGATAGCGAAACCAAGGCTGTGGACAGGAAAGAGCTTTCTGGACCACTGTATCTCACTTTCTAGCCACAATACAGGACCCACAGGTGCAGCCCATGCTCTGTGGTGACCACCAGAACTGGGTCACCTTCTATCAGGCCTGTGTGCCCAGCCCTGTCTGATTGGTTAGTGGTATGTGTATGTGTTTCCTGTAAAAGTTGAAAAGTAAGGCCTGCTTTAACCCCTCCAGAGGTCATGAGCTTGGGCAAGACTCAAGGAATGTGTAAGCCGAAGCAGGAGTCACTGGGCTTAGTTTCTTGCCCTCCAACTAACCAAGCTGCTGAGCCACCTCTGAAGCATCATTTAAATCAGCCTTTGTCCCAACTTGTCAAGGACCAATTATTCACTTGGGGGAACCTGGTAGTTAAGTGCCAAGGAGAGCTACGTGGCTGTGTAACATGCCCATGAACTTAGAAATTGTCATAATCTCTCCTGGACGTGTTGCTAAAACTCCCCCAGCCTTGATTTCTTCACCCTTTAAATGAGAATATATGCTCTGTGTGGAGCACTAGAAGGAATGAATGTCTGGTTCTGCTAGATGGTTATAAATTAGATCTACTGAAAGGTTTTCAGCATTTAAAAGAATTAGTTACAATACTTTAAAAGCTAATAATGTAATAAAAGGGAGGAGGGCTGTCCTCTTTAAACGAGTAATATCTGTGGCCAGTAAGTTCTGCCTGGGTTTCCTTCCTTTTTTGGATTCATTTCCTATTTTTACACTTTTGTACATGTTGTTCAGTCTGACTCATTTTTGAGTTGAACTATCAGCAAATATTTGATCTTTTGAATTTCATCTTCTGTTCTCACCAAATGGAGTTTGTTTTGGGCAGATAAGAATATTTTCAAATTCACACAACTAAGAGAATTTTGATAATTTGGGATACTCTTGCCTGAAGTGGGTTTGGGATTATGAATGATAACCTCGCTCCATCACATAAAAATACCAGCTGCCCCTAACTGAGGCGGGCTCCTGTGTCCTAACCCAATCATATGCGGCAGTTTTTATATTTCCCATTTTTATCCATGAAGGGATCAAGCTCAGATTAGTTAAAATTCAACCTCTCCCCAAATCGCAGAGCTAGGAAGTGGTGAAGGCAGACTTTAAGCCAGGTCTAATTGATTCCGAAGCCCATTCTCTCTTCTGAAAACTCTCTCTGGGTTTCTCTTTTCATGCCTGGCACATACTTCATCACTTCATTTGTTCCCTTATCTTGTGTCTGCAAAACCCCTCCACCTTCCTCAGCAACCTCCTTCTCCAGGCTACTCACTGATCTCATTAAATTCAGATGCTGGGCTCTCCATGAAGCAGGGCGCCCCAGGGGTGCGTGACAATACAGCTGAACTTCCGAGCACATTTAAATCCCCTAGTTGCATTTACTTTAGCACAGGGACCGGAGCTCGGGGCACTGTAGGTGGGACCCTGCGCCTGGCCGCATTCGGAATGACCGTCCTTTCATCAGGGCTCCTGACCACCTCCAGCTCTCCCCTGCTGGTCTTGGGTTTTTCTGACACTGGTGATAAGGTGACAGGGGCCTGAGCTCTCGCAGAGGACCACGGGAAGGTCATTGCCTTCAAGCATAGGCCCTGTGAACGATTTCCTAGGTGAAATTTAGGTGTGACAGCTATAAAAACATGAGTGTGGGGGAAATTCCACAGGAAACTCGCCATTGCTGGCGCGAAATCGAAACTCTCCAGGCCCTAATCCTCCTTTCCCCGCTGAAACCGCTGTTATTACATCGGGCTTTTGCTTTGGTTTCTGTTTCTACTAGTTTTTGATTTTAAGGTTGAGAAAGACAGTTGTTCTGTTCCACAGTCTTACCGTGAAATCAGAGATCAAAGCCCCGTCCTCTGCACACACACAAACTGCGTCACGGTCCTGTTATGGTGACAGATAACACGCGCCGCGCCTCTCGGGCCAGCACTTGTTTTTCACACGAGCTGGTTCTGTGATGACCGCCCCCCCGGGTGACCGCCCACCGCAGTGCCTGCCACTGCCACCAACCAGGCTTGCTTCTCCTGCCTGCTCTGGGAACAGCGGCCAATATGAAGGGCTCAGTAGCACAGGGACCTCCCCGTATTTTCATTCGAGAAACCTGCTGTGAGCGTCCTTGTGGTACAGGCTCGGTGCAGGGCTGAGGGCTACAGGACAGCTGTTCCTGGAGTTGACAGCCATTCCCGATGACTGTCACCTGGCCTGGAGTCATTGCTTCAAAGGAAAAAC